CGGGCGCAACCCGGGCCTGCGGGGGTGGTGCTCCCATCAACCCGGCCTCGTTGCCCCCTGGCGACCCTCAGCTCATCGCTCTCATCTTGGAGCAGCTCAAGAGCCGGGGCCTTTTTGACAGCTTCCGCCGGGACTGCCAGGCCGACGTGGACAACAAGCCAGCTTACCACAGCCTGAGCCAGAAAGCGGATAATTTTGTGTCAGCACATCTGGACAAGCAGGAATGGAATCCTTCAGTGAACGAAAACCAACTGCGCGATGGTCTGAGGCAGAGTGTGGTTCAGCCAGAGAGGTCGGAAGCTGGAGTAGACAGGATTATTTCTCAGGTGGTGAATCCAAAACTAAACCACATCTTCAGGCCACACATAGAACAAGCAATTCATGAATTCCTGGTGGCCCAGAAAGAAGCGGCTGTGCTAGTACTCCCTGCAGAGCCGGAAGGCCTGGACCCTCCAGCTCCGTCTCAGGACACTTCCTAAGAATATGGCTGACAACTTTTGAAAGCGCTATTTAATTTTGGGTGAAGAAATGGATTCGGTTACATAAGACTGCAATTTCAGACCAAAGATAGGCCAAGGTCGTCACTGAGCTCAAGATTTCCACCTACACCATGAGCAGTGACCAGATTGAAAGGGAAGCAAGTTCGGCAGAGAGAGAGTTGACCCTATCGACCCCTGCATTACGCTGCCATTTGGCCGGCCTGTCCAAGGGCCTGACACCAAGCACACACCACAGAGAGGGAAACACTACTGCAACCCAGGGTTGTCCTGAAACAGACATCTATACTTGGACATGGAGACTGCACATAGACTTTAGGGTTTGTGCTCTGGGATAAACGAAAGCTACAGCGAGAGGACATAATCAATCCTAAAGACAATTTCAAAGAACAATGACAGTCAAGGTTAACTGGGAGTAGTATTTGACAGTATTTATTTGATATTGTCTCTCAGAGTTGCAAACTAGATTGTACACGACATTAGCGTCAAATAGCTTTAAAGTTGTGACCTTCTTGTACATGAATCTTCTAGCCAGTTTCCTTTCCTTTGTAAGAGGTAACAAAACATGAAACCCTAGAATGAGTGAGAAGTTCAGACATTAGGTATAAGGAAACTCATTTGCAGACTCTCTGTCCAAGGCTGCTTCCTGTCTTGCAGGGGCTAGTGAGTCTTGTGTGTGTTTATGTTATTCTCACATTTGTGTTTTTTTAGAAAAGTGGATGGTCAATAAATTGCTTATCTTTCAACAGCAACAACAAAAAAGAAATGCAGATTTATGTCCTTGTCATCTTTAAGCTCCGTCAGTTTTCTGATATTTCCAGAAGGTCAGACACCTGGCATGGTTTATGAGGCCCATGATAATGGGGACCCTGGTCACCTCTGCTACCCCACACACTGTCATTTCTCATATGACCGCCATGCCCATGGCTATCCTGGACACCCTGTATTCCCTCTGCTCACTGTGAAGGGAATGCCCTCAGCTACTCCTACCCTCCTTTAAGCCTCAGCCCCTGAGGAGCCACACACCATGCCCAACCCCCGTCTAAGCAGGAATGACAGACTCCTTCCTCTGTGCTTCCATAGATCTCATAAGGGATGACCACACTTACAATAGTAGCTAGGTCTAACAAAGCACTTGCTGTATGGCGGGCAGTGTACTAAACGCTTAACTTTGCTTACCATAGTAAGTCCTCATGATCTAATTGAAGAAATCCTATCTTTATTCCCATTTTTCTTCCCATTTACAGATGCAGAAACCAAAGCTCAGACACTGCGTAAGTGGTGGGGCTGGGGCTGAGCCTGTGTTGAGCACAGGGCCACTTTTAACCTTTTTTAACCATGCTTTTAACCACACCACCTCACCACAGTGAACTGTCTTTGCTTACAGGTCTGTCATCTCCACTTAAATGTGAGCTTCCTCCAGGGTAGGGATTTACTTTGTTCATTTCTATTCCTTAACCCCAGGACCTAGCACATCACAGGAGCTCAGCAATTTATAGAAAGAAACCAGTTCTGGATTTGTCTTTTCCAACATTTAATTTCTCAGATGCTAGTATTTATCATCTAAAAAGTGAGCAAAAGTTAATTTTGTGTCTGGTATCTACATGTCTAAGCAAGAAAGAGCTTTCTTATCCCTGGGGGTATTTTATCTGTAATATTTACCTCTGAGCTATTTTAAATGATTCTTCAAAATTTAGAGTCCAGAAGGTAGAAGACCATGTCCTTTCTGAAAATGTCCCTTCCTGTCACAGGTACCAGCCTCTTTTTAAAATTAGCTTGTGAATATGAACATCCCAGCTCTTTAAAGTTTAATGTCCCAGCCATTTTAATTGTTTCTTTCAAAGTACAAAAGAGCAGCTGGGCCACATCGGCACTAATCACTTGCCAACTTTCCTTTTTACAAAAACAGCTAAGCTCTTTCTGAGATTTAAAATCACTCCATCTGAGACCCCATCTTGGCACCTATCTTTGCACTAACATAAAAGGAACCTAATTTCTGCTTTTAAGAAATGTGTTGCGGAAGTGATTTTTGGTTTGGGGTTTGTTCTCCTTCTTTTAAAAAATAACATAATAAAGTGTAATACAACTTTTAAAGTTTTTTTTTCCTTTACCAGTTCTCTATTCCCCTTTTCTACTTGAATTGTCCTGAGACAGGGTTGCCAGATAAAACACAGGATGCTCAGTAAATATGAATTTCAGAGAAACAACAGATACTCTCCTAGGGCACAGACCATGCAATATTCGAAACATACTTGTATTAAAAAATTATTTGTTGTTTATTTGAAATTCAAATGTACTGGTGCCCCATGCTTTAGTTTGCCAAATCTCCAAATCTGCCAACCGTAGCCTGAATGCTTCCCGTTTCCACCACATGAGTCTGGCAAATGGAAAATGCTAACCCATACGATGGACACTCCTGTATTCTGAAAATAAATATGTCAACAAAAAAAAAACTGTACTGTGACTTGAGAGAGCTCATTACGTGCATGCATGCATGCCCACTAGTCCCTGCTAAATAATTCCTTTCTTGCAATCCAGAAGGATAAATAAATGTAATTTCTGGAATTCTATACATTCTTATCAATGAACTACAAATATTTATTGAAAATGTCTCTGTTTTGGGAAGACTTGGAGTCCAAAGGGGTAGTTGGCACAGTCACTATCCCCAGGGTCACAGTTTAGTTTCATGAAGCAGGAAAGAAAATGATTTTAGTTGTAATCCTAATAATGAGTAAAGAGAGTTTCAGAGAAGAAATACAGCAGTAGACGCCAGTGAGATAGAGTGAGACAGACAGAGGGAAAGAGACAGAGAAACAGAAATACAGAGACAAAGAAGAAACAGAGAAAAAGGGAGGGAGGGAGACAGAGACAAAGATATAGACAAACAGAGACAGAGAAACAGAGACAGAGACAGAAACAGAGGCAGAGAGACTGAAAAAGAGACAGAGAGATGTGCGCGTTTCCTTTTTATGCTGCAGGGCGACTCTTCCATTCCCCCTTGCTCCTCCCCCACTCTGATCTCCGGGCTGGGTGGGTCCTGGGGTCTGGGCGGAGTCAGCACCTGTCACAGGCACGCCCCCTGGGGCACCATTTGGCCCTGGGTCTGAAATTGATTCTTTCTGGATTTCAGGGCAGCAGCAGCAGGCAAGAGCTCGGCTGTCACTTCCAAGACTTTTATAGACTCTGACAGCAACGCTGCTCCCTGTCTTTTGTCTTTTGTATTCTGTTTGTGTTCAGCCTCTAATCCACGTGGGGAATAACATGCGGGGCCTGCAGGGGAGGGCCTGCCTATGGGCCATGTGCCAGCAGGACAATCTGCAGAGACTGGGAGGCCTGTTCCCCTCCCAGTCTTCCTTTTTGATTTATACACGTGCTCTGGGATCTCCTTTGCAGGAAATGATTTCTGGGCCCACCTCCTGGCAACTTTGAGGACAAGGACCCTGCACCCAAGGCACTTCTAGGCTTGGGAAAATCAGAATCTAAGATAGGCAGGCCAGTGTGGAATGAGAGTTACAGATGTGAATACATGTGGCTTCATAGCAGGGAGTGCTTCCTAGGACCGAAGTGTCTCAGGGGTCTTTGAAGAGAAGAGATTTGAGTAGCACCTGGAAAGAAAGGATAGGCCAAGCTGGGATGGTGCCCCCAAAAGGCAAGGCCAAGGGAAGGCGCAGGAGAGAGGGATGGGAATGGCAGGAGTGGCTGGCGGCAGGGAGCAAGTGGTTGGAGAACCTTCACACTCTGATTTAAATGGTTCCCAATGCAGGAAACCAGGGTGCACCTGAGGTTGAGGGCTTCTCAAACTTGAGTGAGCATCAGGGTTAACCAGAGGGTGGTTCTGATTGAAATACACATTACTGGGCCCATCCCTAGAGTTTCTGATGCAGTGGGTCTGGGGTGAGGCCTGAGACTCTGCATTTCTAACGAAGTTCCCAGTGATGCTGGTGCTGCTGCACCAGGGAACCACACCTTGAGAACTACTGTGTAGTGGGCACTGCCCAGAGACCGAGAACCTCTTCCCTCTGCATCTATTTCCTCTCCACTTCCTGGAACTGGCTGTTTTCCAGATTCTTATGAAACACAATAGGTGATGTTGATTAATTACCCATTTTTGTTTTGTTGTGTTTGGCAGGAAGAGAGGAGAAGGAAGATAATTTTACCTGGTTTCTTTTTCCATCTACTCAGTCTTCGGAATTTCAGTTTTCATTTCTTGGGTACTCTTCCCACCCCTACTGCCAATTCACAGATAATTACGAACAGCCAGCAGGTCTAAATCACTGCACTAGCCTCTCCTCTTCTTTGCCCCTCCAGTGAATGCACCAACAATGAGTGGGGACAGCAGATTTGGGCAGTATTTCTATGAAGCCTGATGGTTAAACACATTCTTTCTCTTCCCCATTCTTTGGTGTGACTCAAAATCACAGAATCAGAAGAGGGAAAATGGGGTTCTATTCAGATTGGAGCTTTAGCTCCACCATTGGTTGTGGGCAGCTATGGGTATAAGGGGCAGGCTCTATGACTGGGAAAATGAATGTCATTCAATGGGGGTCTCACTAGACCGAGGGGCAGTGGTGTGTGGTCCAGCTGGAGCCCATGTGGGAGGAGCTTGTGTTGCTGACTGGTGAGTGCCCATTGAAGAGGTGCCCGCTCCGTAATGTTTCAGTTGCATATTTCTTGCTGCTCCCTCTAAATTGTTTTTTTAAATCCTGGTCATAAAAACCATCCTACCTCAAAAATATTGAACAGGTGCCAAAAATGGGGAACAATCACATCCCTTCTATGTTGGACAACGTGGAAGAGGAATTTTCCCCACTTTCCACAGCAGAGCTTTTGAACTGGAGCACCATTGCATGGTCTGGTAACCACCAGCTGTGGCTGTGCATGAACACAGCTGATCTGACCTAAGTAAGAAGAGACCAAGAAAAGGAAAGCAATATTATTAGAAGCGGTATGAGAAGAGAGGTGGGAAGATCTCTGGGAGGTATCAGGAGTGCCATGGGCTGAGATGGGAAGGGGTTGGCAACCTATAAAGTATGGGCATGGAAGTCAGTTACCCAACACTCTCTACTCTCAGACAACACTCATAGCCCTCCCCAAGGCAAGCCAGGACAGACTCTGTAGAGCATCTCTGAAACCCCACCCAACTAGGGAGAAAGAAATCCCTCGCACGAAGAGTTCCAGTGATTTAATATGCACAGTAGGTTGCAGCTTAGCTCTCTTTGCCCTCAGTTTCCACTAAGATTTTTCTCTCCCTTGCCCACTCTTCTCCTTCGTTCCTCCCTGGTCCTTGATCTCTCAAGGCAGGCAGCCTCCTGTTGTCTGGGGAGCTAGTAGCTGGTCTGTGAATGGGTTTGTGAAAACACGATTTGCTTCAGGATGGAAACAGATTATTTCTAGGTTTCTGGATTGCGGTGCTGTCGCACAGATCCTCTTTTTATATTCGTGTCTTGGACTGTAGATGGAACATGGGCCGAATGTGAATGGCAGGGAGTCAGTGGTATCCTCAACGTGGGAAGAGCCCTGTGCTGGGAAGCTAGAGACCGTGGTTCTGGTCACAGCCATCTACATAACCTGCCTGGGACCTTTGGCTGCCAACGTAGCCTCCTGGGCCTCAGTTTCGTCATCCTCCTGAAATGCTCACCTATGGTGCCCCCAACAAAGAAGGCAACAGTTTTAAGATTTGACTTCTGAAATCCCCTATTGTGACCTGGAAGGGCTCGGTGAGCCCTTGGGCCCTCTTTTAGGAGCTCATGTTGATTCCTTGAGTTA